GCTTCTATTGCCGAGCTGCACCAGTTCCCATGGAGGGGTCTGGGTGGTGCTGAGCTACGGTATCTGCCCATAAAGGGGGAGTCCTAGCTCTTACCTGAGAAGGTAGCCCTTGGAGACTGCTTGCAGTAGTGTGTGGCACATTGAGTTCAGTTAGGGGGAGTCCCTCGGGGTGCCCCCTGCAGCCCCAGAAGCATCCACATCCCCTCCTCCCTCTCTTCCCCTGTGCGCCGGCTGCCCTGTCCCAAACTGGACTCATCTGGTTTGGACTCATCTGTTCCTGTCTTGGTGCTGTGTGTCCACCTTCCTCCCCACTATTTAGTATGCTTTTTTTTTTTTTAAGGTTTATTTATTTTATTTCTAGAGAGAGGGTAAAGGAGAGAGAAAGAGAGGGAGAGAAACATCGAAGTGCTGAAGATACATTGCTTGGTTGCCTCTCACACCTCCAACTGGGGACCCAGCTGCAACCCAGGGATATGCCCTGACTGGGAATTGAACCGATGACCCTTTGGTTTGCAGGCTGGCACTCAATCCTCTGAGCCTCACCAGCCAGGGCTATTGAACACATTTGCAAATATATATTGAGCCTCTGCCTTTGTTCTGAGTTGCTGATCATGAGCAAATCTGGCCATAATGCCTGCCCTCATGCATGGGCAGTCTCCTTAAAGGAGAAACTGTATGTACAGCTCTTAAAACACTGTCCCCCCAATTCCAGGGCATCGGAAGAGAGCATGGGTGGCTTCTTGCTGCCCAGGGCCAGTGAGCGTTGAAGTGTAGAATGAGAGAATCCTGTGTCTCCCACCCCATGAAGCAACTGCTTATGTTATAGCATCTCCCTATACCAGGGACTGCCCTTCCTTCCTCAGTACTTCAGTACTTCCTCCCACTTCAGTACTGTGTCTTGTGTGCTGGTCTCCACACTGCTGTTGAGAATTCTCCAGAGCTGGTGTAGGACCGAGTCTCCCTTGCTCAGAGCTTCCCATTTATCACTCTCAAAAACATTTGTTCTCACCAGGCCAAGGCCCCACCTGTTCCATACCCCAACAGCCCTGTCCCCCTGTGCTGCCCTCTACCCACACTGGCCTCCTTCCTGCCCAAGACTGTTGGTAGCTCTTTGTCATCCCCCCACCTCTTTGCTGTGCCCCCAAGGTTGGCTGCTAGATGACATTCACCCCAACTGTAATTAAGTCTCTCCCTGTGTCTCTAGACAGATCTGTGAGAATTCTCCACAGGGGCTGTCTGCCCGACACCTTGCAGTCCATCATGGTGGCTTGGGTGCTTGCATCCCCATTTTATAGACGAATAAACTGAGGTGCAGAAAGGCAAGGGGCTGGCCCAAGGTCACATAGCTAGAGAGTGGCGTGGTGATATCAGAACCCAAGTCTGGGGCTTCTGGCTCCACAGCAGGCCTGTTCTGCCTTGGTCGTCTCTCTTGGGGTGTGAGCCTTCTCTGAAGCACCTTCCAGGGGTTCAGTACCACCCTCTCCCTTGATCACCTTGACCCTGGTCACTTGGGCCTCAGTACCCAGGGCAGTTTCCATGTGGCAGCCTGAGAAGGTAGGTCAGGGCTGCCAGGTCCTGAATGAGGCTCTCTGGGCTCTGCCCTTCACCTCAGTTTTCCCTGCCTCCTCACACAGAGGGCCAGCTACCAGCCCCTCCAGCCCTGAGTTTGAGTCCCTGGAAAGTATGTGCTTCCTTCTAATGGGATTTCTTTTCTCTGTCTCCCTCCTCCAATTGCCCTAAGTGATTCTGATGATGACAACAAGGAGCACAGCTGAGGGAAATCACAGGTTTCAGTGCCCAGGCAGACCCTGGTTTGAATTGTGTCCCTACCACTTACTCGCTGATGACTTGGGGGTAGTCCTTAACATCCACATGGCCTCAGTTTTCTCAGATGAATATTGGGAGTATGAAATCTGCCCTGGAGGTTCACTAAGAGGATTCAGGGAGCTCCTGCAGGTCTCTTGGCAGCTCCTTCTCTAGGAGCCTATGTGCTCAGAGGGGCAGGACCTGCAACTCCCTCTGGCAGAGCCAGACGGAGCCACTCCATGAGTCCAGAATGAGTTTATAGAACCAGGTTGGTCTTACCAGCTATTTCCAACTGGAGAAGTGGAGATTTGGAGCTTCTGATTCTGGAATGAGTCAGTTCTGGAGTCAGTACTCACCCTGGCCCCAAAATGCACCTCTGAGCCTACAGACTCGAGGCTGCTTCTGTTCCCCCAGGCAGCCTGTTGAGAATGAACCCAGTGTTACCAGGTAGGGCCCGATTCTCGGCCCATGGAGGCAGGTCAGAACGGACTCGCTAAGGAAAGCAAACTAAGGAATGATGGAACACTAGCTGGGTTCTCTGGTTAGTTCCTGCCCCAGGGCCTTTGCGTGCACTCTTTTTATGTCATTTCTCCTCATTCTTCTCACTAGCCTAACTCTGCTCAGGCCTTTCTTTTCACCCCTACTCTGCTTATTCAGGACCACTACCTTTTCCACCCTATAGAATTGCAGGGGACACTCTTACCCATGGGGGGGCACTTGTAAAACCACATCATCCTTCAGCGGCCTTTTATGATTGCCCCCACAGTACGGGACATGCACTTCCCACCTGATCAGCTCTCCTGGGTTGGAGTGTGCACTGACATAATAGGCTGTGGTGCCAAGTGCACACATTTCAGAGGTCCTTGGCCCCCCATCACAATAGTAGTCTCCTCACAGATCAGGATAGGGGTTGGCCTCTGTGAGCAGGAACCTTATATTTGCATTTCTTTCCCACCTATCCTCACTACTTTGGGGTTACTTTGCATAGGTAAAATGTGTGGTATGGTTTTATACATTTTATTTTTAAATATTATTTTTGAAAATAGGCAATATATTCATCAGGTTCAAAATTCAAAAGACCCGTAGAATGTGCCTGGCAAGTGTCATCCCCGGTTCTGCCCAGAGAAAACCTTACAGGTTCAGCGCTGTTGCCATGCATGCACCATGCACTTGACCCACTTAAAGTGTGCAAGTTAGCAATTCTCAGTGTGGTCACAGTTAGGCCTCCATCACCACAATCGTAGAACATTTTTCAACATGTTGAGAAGAAACCCTGTAAATTTGGTTCCTGGACTCAATTCCACTTGGGATTGAGGGGCTGGGCCTCCCCCATACCAACAAATAATTCTCAGGCATCAAAAGAGTGTCTTGAGAATTCAACTTAATTCTCACACTACCTGGAGATTGCATCAGAGGCCACAGGTTAAAGGCTCTGTCCTGTAAGACTGCCCCTCCCACACTGCAGACACCAGCTGCAAGCCCAGGTTACCTGTGCTTGTACTCACTGGCCACAGATTGGAGGTTCCAATGACCTCCTTCAACTCAGAATTCCAACTGCAACTGAAGGGCTGTGAATCAAGAGGTTCCCATAAACTTCTCTGTGGGTTCGATTAATTCGCTAGAGCCTCTCAAAGACCCCAGAGAACATGTCCCCTCACTAGATCACTGGTTTATTGTAAAAGGATGTGACTCAGGAACGGCCATATGGAAGAGCTGCACAGCGCCAGGCCAGGTAAGTGGGAAGGGGCCCCAAGCTTCATGCCCTCTCCTGGCAAGCCACTTCCCCACATCTCCATGTTTTTCCTGGAAGGTCTCCCAAAGCTGCCGTCTTGGGTTGTTATGGAGGCTGCATTACGTAGACTGAGCAAGTCACTTGCTGTTGGCGATCCATCTGCAGCCCCTCTCTCCTCCCCAGGCTGGGCAAGGGGCTGAAAGTTCCACACCTCTGATCACAAGGTTGGGTCCTTTAGCAACCAGCTCCATCCTTAGGTGTTTCCAGAAAGTCTCCTCCTTAACATAACAAAAGACTGTTCTCACTCAAGGGTTCCTAGATCTGTGAGCCAGGAATCACGGACAAAGACCCAGTGTATGAGATACATATCTGGGTCATCTGAATGACCAAATATCTATTTCTTACACATCATAGTGTGGCATCCTGCCTCCCTTTGCTCACACCTTCCCTAAAGTTTCCAGCCTCTGGAAATCACTAATCTGCCCTCTGTCTCTGTGGATTTGCCTGTTGTGGACATTTTATATAAGTAGGATCACATAATATGTGCTCTTTTTTTCTGGTTCTTGCATTTAGCATCATGTCAAGGTTCATCTGTGTTGTGGTGTGTACTGGTTCATTCCTTTTTATAGCTGAATAATATTCCACTGTATGGAGAGGCTACATTTTCTGTATCCATTCATCACTTAGTGGACATTTAGGTTATTTCTACCTGTTGGCGATTGTGAAGAGGGCTGCAGTGAATATTCATGTACAGGTTTTCCTGTGGATGTATGTTTTCACTTCTCTTGGGTATAATTGTGAGGAATGGAATTGCTGGGCCATATGGCAACTGCATGCTTAACCCATTTGAGGACCTGCCAGATGGTTTTCCACAGCAGCTGCACCATTTTGCATTTCTACCAGCAGTGTAGGAGGAGGGTTCCAATTTCTCATCCTTGCCAGCACTGTTATCTGTCTTTTTTCTTCTAGCCTTCCTGGTGGGAATGAAACAGTGTCTTGTTGTGGTTTGGATTTGCATTTCCCTGGTGACTAATGGTGTCCTCATGCAATTTCAGGATTTCTTGAGTGGTCATTTAGTCATTCAACAAACGGTGGTTGAAGGTCATGTGCCTAGCACTGTGGATGCTCTGGGAGTTTCCATGCCAGTGTCCTTCAGAGTTAGGTTATGTGTGGAGTGCTAGTGATGCTTTATACTCACAGGGTGTTCACTGTGTTAACTCATCTCATATTTAAGCACTTATGTGTAAATTTGCCTTTCCCCCTTGTCTGCAAGGGACATCATGTAGCCACCCTGGCCTATAGCTGGTGTGGCTGATTTGACAATCTATCCTAAAGGAATGGAAGGAGTGGGTGGCCCCTCAGAATCTCAGTGCCTCAGCAAATCTATCATGTGGCTGGGAGCAGGGGTGAGCATGCCAGCTGACCCCATCCCTCTGTTTTTCTTCCCCTGTCCCCTGCACAGCTGCCACCATGGCCCAGACCCTGCAGATGGAGATCCCGAACTTCGGCAACAGCATTCTGGAGTGTCTGAATGAGCAGAGGCTTCAGGGCCTATACTGTGACGTGTCTGTGGTGGTCAAGGGCCATGCCTTCAAGGCCCACCGGGCTGTACTGGCTGCCAGCAGCTCCTACTTCCGGGACCTGTTCAACAGCAGCCGGAGCGCGGTGGTGGAGCTGCCGGCAGCCGTGCAGCCCCAGTCCTTCCAGCAGATTCTCAGCTTCTGCTACACAGGCCGGCTGAGCATGAATATGGGGGACCAGTTCCTGCTCATGTACACGGCTGGCTTCCTGCAGATCCAGGAGATCATGGAAAAGGGCACTGAATTCTTCCTCAAGGTGAGCTCCCCCAGCTGTGACTCCCAGGGCCTACATGCTGAGGAGGCTCCATCTTCTGAGCCCCAGAGCCCCGTGGCTCAGACATCGAGCTGGACGGCCTGCAGTACCCCGTTGCCCCTTGTGTCACGTGTCAAGACAGAGCAGCAGGAGTCGGACTCTGTGCAATGCACACCCGTGGCCAAGCGGCTATGGGACAGCAGCCAGAAGGAGGCCGGGGTTGGTGGCAGCAGTGGTGGCAACGGCAGCCGCAAGATGGCCAGGTTCTCCACATTGGACCTGGCCACCAATCGGCCGCCCCAGCAGGCCCTGGCGGTGGCGGCAGCAGCGGCAGCAACAGGAGGCGTGGTGAGTGGGCCCAGCATGTCTGAGCGGACCAGCCCAGGCACCTCAAGCGCCTATACCAGTGACAGCCCTGGCTCCTACCACAACGAGGAGGATGAGGAAGAGGATGCGGGCGAGGAGGGCACAGATGAGCAGTACCGGCAGATCTGCAACATGTACACCATGTATAGCATGATGAATGTTGGCCAGAGCGGTGAGGCACCCTTCCCACCCCTCCTCCACTGCCACCGCCACCCCTGCTACCCCCATCCCGAACACATCCTGCCCTCTTTCCCCTGCAGCTGAGAAAGTGGAGGCCCTCCCTGAGCAGGTAACCCCTGAGTCCCGGAATCGCATCCGGGTGCGGCAAGACTTGGCATCTCTCCCGGCTGAGCTCATCAACCAGATTGGTAATCGCTGCCACCCCAAGCTCTATGATGAGGGCGACCCCTCTGAGAAGCTAGAGCTGGTGACAGGTAGGTTGGTCTCACTTGCTCTTCAAATCCCGCTTTCCCTCTACCCTGTACCTCTGTGCCCCCTGGGCTGCTGGCCTATGGCACAGCCCCTGGCTTTGTCCTGAGGCATCTGAGCCCCTCTGTGTTGATACACATCAAAGACTGGCCTCTAGGTTTTTGGTCTGGAGGCAGGCATAAGCATTGGGGGGACATCATGGCCACAGGGAGCAGATGAGTAGTTTCTTGGGTGGTGTGAGGGCAAACTATGTTACAGTTAAGAATTTGGCCCTTGGTCCTGGCCTGTGTGGCTCAGTTGGTTGGAGGATTACCCCATAAACCAGAAGGTCATGGGTTTGATTCTTGGTCAGGGCACATGCCTTGGTTATGTGTTTGGTCCCAGGTTGGGGCACAAGAGGGAATCAATCTGTCTCTCTCTCACATCTGTGTTTCTCTATCTCTCTTTCTCTTCCTGTCCCCCTCCTTCCTCTCTATCTAAATCAATAAGCATGTCCTCAGGTGAAGATTAAAAAAATAGTTTGGCCCTCAGAGTCAGGGTACCTGAGTGCAAGTCTCCACTGGTTGTTCTTTCTACCTCCTAGCTGGTAGTGCTGGCAAAAGCTGCACGTGTACTAGGTGGGCCCAGCACAGTGCATGTGCCCTGTGGACAGTGGCCCCCCCATCTGTCCTTTCCTGAGCGCTGCCCTGGGGCAAGTTGTCAGGGAGGTCTTGGGAGCTCTAAGAAATGGGCCTGGCCACCCTCCATCTTCTCCCTTTAGGCACCAACGTGTACATCACAAGGGCACAGCTCATGAACTGCCATGTCAGCGCGGGCACGCGGCACAAGGTCCTGCTGCGGCGCCTCCTGGCCTCCTTCTTTGACCGGTGAGGCCCTTGCCAGAACCTGGGAAAAGTAGGGGAGTTGCCCCATGGCCCCTACCACCACAGGGGGCCTGATTCCCCTCCCTCATGACCTTCTCCCCAGGAACACACTGGCCAACAGCTGTGGCACTGGCATCCGCTCTTCCACTAACGACCCCAGACGCAAACCGCTGGACAGTCGAGTTCTCCACGCTGTCAAGTGTGAGTGGCCAGCCTTCTGGAGGCGGGTTGGGGTAGCCCTCGGGAGAGCAGCGCAGATGGTCCTTTTCTCTGGTGTTGGCCCTGATAGGTCAGTTGGGTTCAGTGTTAAGGATTCTGAGGTTCAGTCTAGGTTTTTGGGGTAGAAGGCTATGACTGGTTAGAGATTTCTTCCTGGGATGGGGCAGGGCACTGAAGGTGGGGCAAGGCTTGTATCAGATGTGGGGACTGGGGGCAGGGGGCTCAGACTCAGGGTGGTCATGGAAGTTTTGAAGCAGCCAGGCCCCCAGCCAGTGGTCAGGAGGGAACTCTTTAAGTTTGCATGCGGAATCCCCTAATTCCTAAATTCTGGCAAATGATTCACGGGGAGCATTGGGCCGCCCCGTGAAGCCCACATACCCCAGACACATGGCAGAGCTCAGTCAGGCATGGGGCCCAGTGATGGGGTGTAGCCTGCTGTCTGTGAGACCTCTGTTCTCTCCCCTCCGAGAGGGGCTCCTGGGTGTCCTGTGGGTGGGGTCGAGGGAGTCAGGAAAGGCATGGCCAAGTGGCTGCTGGTGGGATGGGAAGCAGGTCTGCACTGGGCCTGAGCTGTCCCTTCTCCCCCCACAGACTACTGCCAGAACTTTGCCCCGAACTTCAAGGAGAGTGAGATGAACGCCATCGCGGCTGACATGTGCACCAATGCCCGCCGCGTTGTGCGAAAGAGCTGGATTCCCAAGGGGAAGCCGCCTGAGGGTGACACCTACACCACCTTCATCAGTGACACGGGCAAGCTGGAGCCGGACATGATGGGCGTGGAGCACAGTTTCGAAACAGCCAGTCATGATGGCGACGCAGGCCCCTCAGCCGAGGCCCTCCAGTAACCCCCCACCAGGCCCTCCACGAGGCTGTCACACTCCCCCTCCTGTCACCCCCCACCTGCCATCTTGGTCACGAGCTACTGTTTGTCCCTCCCCAGGACCCTCGGGGTGTGCTGCATGCTCTCGGCCCCTCGGCCTCCCGTCCCACCCCCAACCCCAGACCGAGTGGGCTGGGAGAGGATGGCAGTGGTGCGAGCTCTGCGTGGCCTTCTCTCTTTTTCTTCTCTCTCTTGCACACACTTGTGCATAGTTGGGGAGCACTTGCTCCCCTCTCCTAACCCCTAGCAATTGTTTCCCCATTCTACTCAACCAGGCCAGGCAGGGGAGGGGCTGGTCTGGGGGCAGTCCTCTGCTCCACCCATCACTGCAGCCCCTCGGGACTTGCAGAGGGGCCCGGGGGTGCTCAGGACCCCTTCTGCCACCACCTCCCAGTGCTTCCACGTTTCCAAAAGCGCCTTCCTATCTTCCTCGTCTGTCCCTGCACCTGGGGCTGGGTTAGGCGAGGCTGTGGGGACTGCCCTTGTGACAGCTGAGGAAAACGGGCTCAGAGAAATCCCAGGACTGACCTAAGGTGACAGGCAGTGGTGGGCTCAGCACCCTTCTCCCCGACCCTGTGCTCAGCCTCTCTTGCCCCTATTCAGTCCCCTGGGGCCTGAGAGGGGCAAGTCCTGAGTGAGGGGTGCAGACGGGGAGAGTCTTTGACGATAGGACTAGAGGTTTCCGGGGCTCATAGGTGCGTGTGCGTGTGCGTGTGTAGTTTTGCTTTGAAATGAATGAAGGTATGAGAGGCAGTGGGACCAGGGTTGGAACCAGGGGGGCAGGCTGGTGTGCCGCTGCCCTTCCCTCCCTCCCCCACCCCATCCCACGGCAGGGCTCCCAGCCCCCATCCCCTGTACATACTTTTTAAAACATTTTTTTAGCTAATGAAATACTGAAGTATAAGATTCCTTTTATTTTTCAAACCAGTGGGACTGTGTCTGATGTCCCCTTTGGTCCTGGGGGGCCGTGGAAGGCAGGATGGGGTGGGGGGTGGGGGCAGGCTGACTGTGTTGCGTGCATGTGGAGTGTGGGTGCAGGTTTCTGAGGCAGGACCCAGGCCCAGCCACTGCTGGGACTGTTGGGTCTGGCCAGCTCCCCCACAGGGCTACGTGTGAAGGGTCTCCCTGGTCTCAGCCTGTTGGCAGATTCCAGTGCTGGGGACAGGGCAGGACCCACTCCATCGTTAGCAGTTGTTTGCGGAATTTTCTTTCTAACCATTCCTGTTTTTAGCCTCACACAGTGCGAGTGTTTGATTTTTTTTGAGAGTTATGTGTGAACCAGAGGGTTCTTGTTTATTTCTATTCCCCATCCACCCATGCTGGGTGCTGGGTGTCATTTGACAGTTTTTGTCTCCAGTCCTTTTACTCACTGCCTCACCTCTCGTCTCTTCCCCAAGTCTGACAGCCCATTGCTTCCAGAGACAGTGGGTTGCCAGGGGTGAGTGGGGGCCTCCCCAGTGGACCCTTGGAGGCCTCCCCCCACCCAGCAGTCCCCACCAGCCTGTGGGAAAGGGGTCCCTCAAGCATCTGCTTGTTCTGGTGGGTGTCCAGTCTGGCTGGGATCCTGGCACCCTTCTTTCTGGTCCGAGGGGTGGGGACATCTGGGAGGGAGTCGACACCCCAAGCTAAAGCACAAGCACCTTAGTCACACCTTCCCTGCCCTTCATCCTGGCCTTGACACCCTACCCTAGCGTCATCCCAAAGCACAATATCCTGGTCACTTGGTGGACCCTTGGGGCCACAGAAGGGTGGGCTGGGGCTCCAGCCAGCCCCCAGAAGGAAGCATGAGTCCCTGGTTTCTCCCCCTTCCAGGCCTTAGCTGGGGGCCAGCTCCTGGGACTGGTTCTCTCCCCACCCTTTTTTCTGGGCAGGCCCCTGCCCAGCCACTCCCTGCCTTGTCCTTAGGCAGGGCTTGCCCCATCCTTCCTCCGCACCCCTGCACCACTGGGTTGGGTGGCAGAGCCCCCTTGTTTCAGGGACCCCCAGGAGGTTCCCCTGGCTCCAGGGACTGTGTGTTGGTCTGGTGGTGTAGGGAGAGGGGCTGGGCAGGGGTGCAGGGGAGGAACTTCCTCACCAGGAGAGCCAAAGACAGGGTCGTGCCTTACCCCAGGAGCCACCCCTGTGCCCATCCACTCTGCCCCCCCCCCCAGGGCAGCCTGCTGCTGTTCCTTTTTCCCCTGCCCTGCTCTGAGCTGCATGCCCCCACCCCTGTCCCACCCAGGCAGCCGGGAAGGAGCAGGGATGGAGAATCACAGACCAACACACACAAGACTGGAGGTACCTCCCCTGGCTGCCCCTCATCCCGCTGGACAGGCTACCTGCTGTGTCCACGTGGAGTGCCAACACCTGCCCTGCTCTGGGCCAAGCCCCCTCCCCCTCCCTGGCCTGTAAGTGAGATTGCACATTAACTACTGTAAGGAGAGGAGCGCACTGGGAAATGTGAACATGAGAATATCAGTGACACTGATGAGGAGAATAAACTAAACGCCTTTGTAACAGCCCTGCTGCACGCTGGTCACTGGGAAGGGATGCTCACCACACATGGGTCTCCCATTGTGCAGAGCGATGCCTTCACTGCCCAGGGTTTGACAAATACAGGAAGATCATGGCTCAGGGTGCACTGGGAAGTCAACGTGAGGGTAGGGATGGCACATTGTTTTTAGGTGGGAACAGATCTAGGCTGCCAACAGACCTCCACTTACAACATCCTTAAGGCTGCCCAGCCTATAGATTCACCCTGACCCCCAAATCCCATGTGGGCATCCCCTAGAAGCTCCACTGAATGGGCCACACGACCCACTCACTGGCTGCCCTGTGGTCTGACAAACCCCCACCCCAGGAACATATCCTGAACACACCCCTTACCGTCCCAAGCCAACACAGCTTTTAAATAGCCAAAAGTTGAGATGGCACATCTAGGGGTAGGGTCCTGAGATATGAAAGGACAAAAGGTTGGATGGAGCAAGAAAAAGACATTGAGGTGCCTTAGGGGCCCATCAGCTCATAGCTGTTTTAAGCAGCTGGGAAGGGTATTTACCTATCTGGGAGATCCCATCAAGTCAACAAAAGATCTGTGCTGGGAGGTGGACAGGGAAGCTACATCTCTGCTCAGGCCAAGTCCTTTGGCCCCCTGATAACAAGGGAGCTTCAGGTGTCCATGGACTAATACCCTTGAGGTTGACCCTTGAACAACCCAGGTTACCCATGCAGTCAAAAACTGTGTAACTTGATTCCCCCAAAACAGTCTACTATTGGCCAGAAGCCTTACTGATACCATAGTGAAGGAACACATATTTTGTATATGTATCATATACTGTATTCTTACAATAGGCTACAGAAAAGATGAAGAAAACCATAATACATTTACAGTATTCATTTTAAAAATTGGTGTATAAATGGCCCTCCACAGTTCAGACCTGTGTTATTCAAAGTTAACTGTATTCCACCTCACAGGGTGACTTGAATGTTTCAGTAAGATCAGCCTCTTTGGAGTCCTGAAGACCAGCTTCAGTTGCCAGAAAGGGGCTTTGAGAGCAGTACCAACAAAAATCCATAGGTGGCTCTGTCCGACCTGACTCTCAGAGCACAACTTTTAGCCCCAGAAAGACAGAAATATTTCTAAGTATAGAATGGATCAAGAGAACCCACACAATAGCAAAAAAGTGATTCTGTACATTTTTGGTCTTTTTTTTAAGGTTTTAACAAATTGGCATGGTGGAATAACAGCCTTGTATTACAGCACTTATGTAATACATAACACGTATGTGGGTGAGATGCAGGTTCCCGGGTCTGATCGCTGAAGGTGGGGGGGTGCAAACTAGTGACAATCTAAGGGTCACAGTACTTACAAGTTTACCTGGCTTACAGGAACCATTTCATACCCAGGAAGGTTCTATGGCAAAGCCCTTAAATTTACAAAAGCTGCCTTGTTAGAAGTGATACATCCATCACACAGAGAACAAGAAACCAGGTGTGCAGTTGGAGTCCAGCATTACCTCTGCATGACCATTCAGAAGTGACCACTCAGCTCCATGGCTAAGGCATTTGCCTACCTTGGACACAAAACAGGCAAAAGATGTTCAGGTTGAACTCCAAAAGCTCAAGAAAGATTCATGGTTTGAAATTTCCAGTGGTAATCAAATTATCCATCATGAAAACCAAGAAATAAACCAAAACAGTCTTTTCTGCACCCAATACTGACCACTGAAATCCCTAACATGCACACAAGTGCACACACACACCTGGGCCACAGTGTGTACAAACAGGCTTAGAATTAAGAGTTTCCCTTCAGGAGGCAGCCGCAAGTTCCAAGTCAACATGCCATATAATATAAATATGTATAAAAAATCTGGGATTTTATTTCCAAATTGGCACACATAGAAGGCACAGGGGCAAATAAATGGCTTTGGGGCACTGAAAATAGAAATGGGGCAAGGCGATCTGAGGTCCTCCTACCTCCACCAACCCTTAAGCGCACTTGGAAGAGAACCAGTGGCAGAGGCTTGGACCCAGGTCCCCAAGGGTCCCACTGGCTCTGGGTGAGAGCCTTGGGACAGCTCCCCAGGCACAACCCCCTTCTCCCAGGGGGCAGGGCCCTACCAACTGCCCCAGGCTGAGGGATCAGCGTCCCCAGAAAGGCCCAGGGTCAGAGAGAGAAGAGCACGATGAGAACCAAGAGAAGCACTCCCAACAGCACAATTGCACACCACTGTCGGCGGTCTGGGGGTGAAAGGGTCAAGAAGTCACGGGGGTGGCAGCAGCAACCCATGTCCCCCACCCCCCTAACTGCTTTCCCCAGGAGACTCACCACTTGTCATGTGGGATACTTTGGCCATCTTCCTGAGGACCCCATCCATCCGTGACTGGGTGTGGTCCATTTCATGAGCAAAGGCGTCTAGCATGCTGCCAAGACCAAGATGATTTTAGCCCTTGAAGGGTCCCCCAGTGCAGCCAGCCTCAGGCTCCCCACCCACCCTGGGGGTCCTGGCCTCACATGCCCTGCTCATCCAGCTCCTCTCCAACACAGCTGGACATGTGCTTCAGAACCTGGATGCTCCCGGACACCATTTCCAGCTGTTGGTCCTGTTGGTCCATGATCAGCTGCAGATTGGAACTGCTGTCATCAGGAAGCCCTGAGTTGTCTGCCCACAGGCTCTTTCAGCCCACAGCCCAACTACCCACACAAACCTGCTGCGTGGCCTGCTGCTCCTCAATGTAGCGAGAGGAGGCTGAAACCATGCTGGCATCTAGCAAGTCAGTGGATGACTTCTGGGTGGCTGGTTTGCCTGTCAGCATCTGGAAGGGCACAGATGCCCACTCACCATAGAGCCAGATACAGGCAAATTTAGACAGTAGTTAGTCAGTAAGGCAGTCTCTGAAGTGGGATGACCTGGGTTCCTGAGGCCCACTTATTAGCAAGGTGACCGACCCCAAGGCCGTAACACTTTGCCTCCCTACGCATCAGCTTCCTACCTGTAAAATGGGGAGAACTATAATCCCTGTTTCCATATGTTGGAATGAGGAAATGAATTAATCCATGAAGAACACTTATTACCACATAAACAGATGCCTATAAGAATCTGTACTTTAATCCCCAAGGCAGCACACCAGGAACACTTTTGGGCACTACTTAGGACTCGAAGCTGGTGTGGGCCTCAGTTCCCCTACCATCTCAGAACCCATATGGGCTTATGATGGGATGGGAAGAGGCTGGTGGTTTCACAACATACAAAAATGGGCACACAACACAAAGGGGAGAGGTACATACACAGGCAGTAGAGAGCATGCTAACAAAAGGCATGAACAGGCACACCCACAGAGGGAAAGGTGTGTATGCCCAAGGCAGACAGGATACACTCAGAAGCCAAGTTCACATACTCAGATGGGTCAAGTGCATATAGAGAGCAAAAGCATAGACATATATGCTGGAAACAGTAACACACAGAACAAAGAAATGGGATAAATATACAGACACAACCCACCCACCCTGAGCAACCGGTATAGACTTCTGGGAGAAGGCAGAAGGGAGTATAGGATCACTGAGGGCTCACGTATAAACACACAGAAAGCAGGCAGGTAGAGCGTCAAGAGAACTGCATACAGAAAGGATGGGCGTTGCACATAAGGGACAGACATACACTTTCCCGGGAGACAGGCGCACACACGGAGAAGGCCACCCCGAAAGATCCTGTGAGGATGCTGGGTCAGGATATTTTACCTCTCTCTTATTTCTCTCCATGAAGGCTACCGCCGCTGGACTGACCATATGGTCCTTCATTTCCTGGGGGTGAGGACAGCATCAGAGAGTAAAGACACCCCCAGGACCCCACCCTCACCCCATCAGAACCTCGTCTCACCTGGACTGCCTCCCGCATCCGCTCCACGAACACCTTTCTTTCCTGCAGATCCCCAGCTGGGAGCTTGAATTTACCTGGGTTGGCTTCTACTATGCGTAGGCCGCAAGAGTCAAGGATAGAGCCAGATACAACCCCCTCCTCTTCCTCAAAGGCCTCAACGCCTCCCTGGTATCCATCCTCCCAGCTCCCCGGCAAATGGACTCTCCCAAGGAGCCCTCCAATACCCCCCCCTCCAGGATATCGATGGTCTCCTCCAGGTCTTCGAGGTCCCACTCGATGCTGCGCAGGCCATTCCGCAGCTCATTGGTTGTCCAGTCCAGCTCCTCGCGTCCGACCGCGGCGCCCTCTTGTAGGAGCTCGCACCAGCGCTGGTACAGCCCGCGGGCTGTGTTCACCGCCTTTTGCACCTCGCTGCAGGCAGGGGCACAGCGGGCACGGCTGGGAGCAGGCGGGCCTCCCGCCCTTTGTTGCTCCCCCAAATGAGGGGAGGGTGCAGTTCAGAGGACCTCCACATCCCCCTGCGTACCTCTCTCACTTGGCCACCGGGCGATCCCGCCCGCGCACCCCAGGACCGGTTGGCACGCTGCGGCCCGCATCCGGGGACCGGCTGGCAGGGGCCCGAGCACCCTCTGCCCTCCCCCATCACTGTCACTCACCCTCGGACTACAAAAAATGGGTCTTCGAGAGACATGTCACCGCCCCCCCGTCGGAGGCTAAGCCCCCTCCCCTCTCCGCCTTGCTAGCAGCTTTCCTCCCAGCTGTGGAGAACCGGCCACCACCCCCCTCCCCGCCACGTGACCCGTATCACCATTGAGAGCAGGACTGCCCGGAGAGAAAGAGAGGCCTTGGAGGCCGGAAGTGAGGGACTCCCGCCCCTCCGCGGCCATCTTGGTTGTGGGCAGAGACTGCTTTCTGAAAGCATGTCACATTCCTTTGCGTCTGCGTATCCCGCCGTCCACAGGTTTGCCCTATTTCTGTCTGCCCCGGTTCGAGTTGCAACTTGGAATCTGTGGGTTCGAGACCCAGACCCTCGAATTGTTGAGCAACCTCAGTTCCTTTCTGGGCATTGTAAATAATTTCCCTGAAAATCAGACGAGATTGTACCTGGGGAAGGTGCTCGTTCGATTCGTAGATCCTCTTAACGAACTCCCTGGGCCTGCACCCGGATCCTATCCTGGGAGATAGTACTAGCTCAGGTTCGGGAGTGGCAGGTTTGGGAAAGGTTGGAGGAACAGGTGGTTGTCCCACCTTCCCGCGGGTGGGGTGAGGCGCGGGCATTCTGTGTGTAGTTTTGTTGAACTCCTCTCTTTTCCTACGGAGAAGGGGTACATCGAGGTCACCCTGGGGCGGAATGGCCGTTAGTAGGCGCCCCGGAGATGCTTCTGGGTCTTTTAGGGAGAATAATTCTAGAGTCCCCACGTGCAGGAGGCGGGGCCTGAGCATCCTCCAAGGGTGACAGAATTTTAGGGGAACAGTAATACTTAGAGAGGTCCTGCACAGAGAAATAACTGTGGAGACAGGGATTAAAGGGGTCCTCACCGAGTCGCCCCTAGTGCTGGCAAGGTCATTGTGCAGGGTTCCTGAGATATGGTGTCAGTGGGAGACCTGAGGTCACTCCTACCCGGAGTGTAGGATGCCCACGGGGGGCATTCCCTGAGGGGCGTCACGCCTTCCCGGCTTGTGCCCGCCCGCAAAACGCGGGTCCGGAAGCTGGGGGCTCCCGCCCGCGGTAGTTGCCCGGAAAGGGGAAAGGAAGGGGGCGTGTCTGGAGGCCAAGACCCTACCCACGCACGCCCGGAAGAAGCCGGCTATTACCCTGTATGGAGAGCCCGGCCTCTGTCCTTATATGGGCATCCGGAAGTGGCTCCGGCGCCTTCCCTACGTCAGTACTTCCAAAATTAGTTCTGCTAGTAGCGCCGACCCAGTGGCGGGAAGGCTCCGCTCACCAGTTTAGCGGGTGGGGCCTTCCTTTAAAGGGCCCGCGCCACAAATGAATGGAGTCATTCAAGCAATTTTGCAGCTTTTTGGGGGGAGGAACTGAAAATAGGTTTTCTTGGAGAGACAGCGCGTGGCGGAAGATGGGGCCGATGTTTTCTGTCTGCTCTATCTCTGTATTGCTCCGTTTTCAACTCCTATCCCAACTGCTTCTCCTGGGGTGCAGAGCCGGAGCACAACTGCTTCGTTTAGGGGGCGGAAGCCAAGAGTTCATCCGGATGTCGTGGGGCCAGGTCCTCCACCTTGAGAAAGCCAAGTGCATCCGTGGAGCTTGTGCCGAAGAAAACTGAGAGGTTGCTTAGTGTGGTGCTCAGAGATGGCAGCCCGGGCTGCGCTCGTTTCTGCAAATTTCCGCCACCCGTAGAGCGAGCAGCTTTGCCCTGGAACCAGACAGCTTGCCCGCTTTCTTACCGCCTACAGACAAGGGGAGTGAGGATGGTTGGCGTACGCTAGATACTGTAGAGCTGGAATCCCCAGTGGCCTTGCACCTCAGTCGGCCCATTTCCTCGTTTAGCAAATATTGGACTAGTCAGTTTGTCTCGGTTTCCCCACGTGAAGTACTCTTGCTATAACAACAGTATCCTCCTCGGAGTGGAGGTGAAGGATTAGTGAGATTTATGAAAGGAAAGTCTTTAATATCGCTTGGCACATAACAACCGCTTAATAAGTGTTAGCATAAGTGTTATTGGAGCAAAGGGAAACTAGCCGCGTACGACCTGCTGGGGCCTGCAAACTCTAGCATGGGGGTGGGCCCTGAACTTCACCCTTGGCCCCGCTCCCCTGGGCCTAAGTGCCGGCATATTGCAGTGCGGGGGTGGGGAGGACCTGAGAAAGAGACCACCTGAAGAACTCAGAGTGCATCGGGGAACGACCCTGGTCCGGACTCGCGGCCCTTTTGTCCTTTGGATAAATTCCTCCCTGTCGCTTTAAGGCGTGTCTGGCCCGGACTCGGTGGAAAGCCCGAAGCAGCGCTCTGATTGGGTGGGGCGTGTTCGTGACGTTACTTCGGGTACAAATGGGCCCCGGTGGCGGGTGCCGGGGCAGAGCGTCCTAGGTGCGTTACGGCATTTTTTGTCTTGTGGGGAGGGACGTGAGCAAGTGCGTTCTCCAGAGTGCACCTGCTAAGCAGAGGAGTCTCTGCCACCGTCGAGCCGCTATGGAGGTTCAGAAGGAGGCGCAACGCATCATGACCCTGTCGGTGTGGAAAATGTATCATTCACGCATGCAGCGCGGAGGGCTGCGGCTGCACCGGAGTCTGCAGTTGTCGTTGATCATGCGTAGCGCCCGAGAAGTCTACTTCTCCGCCAAGGTGGAAGCCCACGAGGAGCCCGAGGTGCCCTCGCAGCCCACATGCTCTCTTGACCCTCGCCTACACCCACCACGGGAAGCTCAAACCAGAATGGAGGCAGCGTTCGCCGACGGTGAGCAGCTCTGCCCGGAGCCCATGGACACGCAGGAGGCGCCAAGAGCCGAGGAGTCTCCTGTCCGCTGTGCCCCGCGCCCCGCCAAAATCAACCGCAAGCGCCGAAGCAGCAGCCTGACCAACAGCGGGGACGCCGGACTGGTACCGAGCAAGAAAGCCCGACTGGAAGAGGAGGATGCGGGGGAAGGAGAGTCTTCGGAGGTCCCCAGTCGTCTGCAGCCCGCTCCTGCACAAGCGGAGGGCGCCTTCCCCAACCTAGCGCGCGTCCTACAGAGGCGCTTCTCCGGCCTCCTGAACTGCAACCCCGCCGTCCCCGCGACGGTGCCACCTCCCCCCGCTTGTGAGGCAAAGCCGGTGTGCCGCCCGGCGGACAGCATGCTGAATGTGCTCGTGCGGGCCGTGGTGGCTTTCTGAGGGACCCCGAGCAGCTCTGCGGGAGCCTAGAGTACGGGCCAAACCGTTGGCCTGAGTGCATAGACTCGAGGCTAGGCCAGACCTGCGGGAGCGCCCGCGGAAACGGAGAGGAGCCGCAGCCGGGCCTGCTGAGAGGACTGGAGAAGGGACTATTCCCCCAGGGAGCCGTCGTCACCCAAGTGCAGCTGCGGCGCCGGGGAGCCTGAGCCGAGGTCAGGGGCGCCTTCCTCCGAGACCTGCCGCGCCCACAGGTGCTCTTAACCAACGGGGACGTGGCCTTTCCGTCTCCTTCTGGGACTGGGAGAAGGAGGCTTGGTTCCTGAAGTTCCTCAGGGTCGGACTTTATTTCTTGCTGAGGGCTATACCGCCCTTACAAGGTTTTTTCAGTAGTTGGTGTTGCCATTCCCAACTCGGAGCATTCCATCCACTGTTCTCCCCCCCCCCCCAGTGACATACTTATGCAAGCGGTCATCGTTGCGTCATGGGGCAGATGTGGGGAGCTTCCTGTTGCCTTGCGTGGGTGTGGGGCCTGGGAGGAGGGCTGCCTGAGTCACTTAGCCTCGGCGTGCTTCACCCTGCTTCCCTTCGCCTTCGGGCGAGGGGGAAGCTGATCTAACTCAACGTTAAAGTTTTTCTCATTTAGTGCGTTCGAGGTGGGGGGGTGTTCACAGTCCCTCGGACATGGACACAATCAACCCAGAAGATTTTGGTCTGAATCACAAAAATGGGGGGAGAACTATTCAGAGTGCTGTAAGGATGAGTTAGGACCAGTTGCTGGTGAGACGGGGCCAGTTTGGGGTGGGGGAGATTTTAACCAGGGCGTTCTGAAAGTCTGTACTCTGGTTGGTTCTGTTTAATTCCGTTTATATGGCCTTTTGCTAGAGACGCCGGATACGAAAATAAAGACCGTTTAAATAAAAAAGACGGCCATCTAGCTTTCTTCTCTGGTGGTGGAGGGGCAGGGTTAAGAGGTCAAGAGCTGGAGCAGCTTGTTAGGTGGGGTCTCAGAAACCGGCCTGATGGGGTCCCACGCAGGTGGGAGGGGCTGGAACCCCTTTCTCTGCCCAACACTTACTAACCGGGCGCCCTGGAGCATCGACTCCAAGGCCACGCGTTTGAGGGCTCCTTAGAAATTCCCTTACAAGTCCGGGTAAGCAGGCTCTCAGACACTGGGGGTACACTGCTGGGGGCAGCGCCCCATGTGTAGTCGGGGAAACACGCCTCCTTTGGAGACCTGAACCTTGGCCGATTCCCAAACCCGCCCCTCACTGTCCGCACTTTTGCTGGCTCTTGACCGACTGAGTCAGCTCTGGCGGGGGGGTCCCACCGGCCGGGGTGGGGTCTGCTTGAGAAGCTAAAGTAGGTGAGGTTTGAAGCACTCTTCACACCATGTTCCCATCTCTGGCTGTGAAATTGTGTGGCCCCGGCCTGGAGGTAAGCTCCCAGCCTCAGTTTCCTCAACTGTGAAGTCTGCCTTTAAACAGCTTCCCCAGGAGGAGGCTGTAGATTTAGAAATGCTCAGGGCATCCTTGCTGTTTGTTTGCTTTGGACGCACCCCAGCTCCAGGTTAGCCACTCCAGGGGTGAAAGTCCTCATAATTCACCCAGTACTGGCCCAGAGATGATCTGTGGGGAGGACAAAGGAGCCGCAGGTGTGGAGAGAGGGTGGCGGGAGGCCCGGGAGAGCACTCGCCCCACCTCCACATGACTAGGTCCCCGCCGCTGGCTACCCAAGACCGCAGGCGCTTTGACCCTGAGGCGGGAGAGAGCCGGAGGGTGCTGTGAAGGAGCAGACCCGCCCCAGGGCGCCCCCAGGCTCCTTCCCACCCCTTCCACGGCCCCAAGACCCCTACCTGCCTCTCTTGGCACCCTGCACCCTCATCCCCCTGGGGAATCTGGCCCAGCTAGCCAGAATGGCTGCCTTATCCCTTCCCGGGAGAGGCGGGAGACTTAGCACCACCCACTTGAAGGCCTGACCCAGAACGTCCCGGCCGGACGTAGGTGGACTGGGACCCCACACCCCTAACGGTAGCTCCATGTGTCCCCTCAGGAGCAACTCCCCTGAGAACCTGGCCCGGCCCCAGGAAGTCCCCGGCTGCTGGGGAAGGGGCCTCACTGTGCATCCTGTTGCAGGAACCGCAGGGCCCTTCCTTCCGCGGGAAGCGGCTCAGCCGCCTCCCGCCACGGCCGCTTGGGCGTTTCCGCTGCCGGCCACAGGCGAAGGGCTGGAGATGATAGGTGGGAGACGCACCGGCACCACACACACACACACACACACACACACACACACACACACACCCCTTAAGATATACTCCTCCCGGAGACCTCATCTTACCCAGCAGAATAGGCAACATCGAAAACCTGTCACAATAACTGATATTGATGGGGCTTGGAGTTTTCAGTCCTCCCCTTGGTTATTGGGGCAAGCCCTTTGGGGAGTAATTGATTTGGACAATGTCTGTGTGGAAACTACCAAGGGTCACGTATCTTGTGACCAGCCAGTTTTCCAGGGAACCATCAGGAGATTCCAGAAGGGTGTTCACCGCAGTGTTGTCTGAAATTGGCAGATTTGAAACAAGCGACATGCCCATCCAGCTGGACTGGTCTGGTAGAATGTGAACTAACCATGGCTCCCCATCCCAAAGGCACAAGGCCTGAGCCTGACAGAGCTACACACTCAGGCAACAGGGATTAACCTGGAACCGTGATGCTGGGGATGAAGACCAGCTGCATACGTTGTGAGGTAAGAAGTCCAGACTTCTGAGCTAGACAGCCAGTCTACTTACCCTGTGCAACTTTGAGTTAGTTACTTCACCTCTCTGAGCCTCCATTTCCCTGGCTATAAATTTTGGAAAATAATAGTCCCAACCTCTTAGATTCATTAGGAAGATTAAGCAAGATAGTACATGTAAAGTACCTGAAACACAGTGTTATTTTTTATTGTTAGAGGTCAGGATGACAAGTGCCGGCCATTTAAAAACACGTACAGCACTAAAAGTACATATACAGTGGTGCCTCAGTACTGGTCGGCTTCAGAACTCGTCAAACCTGGTACTCACTGCATTTTGGCGAGAAAAAAATGTTTCAGCACTCAGTGCTTGCTCACACACTTGCCACACTTGCTCAAGCTTGTGTACAAGGCCACTCTGCAAGACAAAATGCTTCATCAACCTCATCAATCGCCACTTGCTTGCCACTCCTCAAAAGAATTAACGAGGAGGACCAAGGTACCACTGTGCACAGAAAACTGTACGCAGATACTGTGTTAAGGCCAGAGAGTTTGAAAAATAGTTACCGCCTTCTCCATTAGCTCAATGTGAACACCGGTTTCTGCCTTCCCTCCCAGTTCCAGGGTTTGATCATATTCTAGTGACTTGGCAGGGTTAGTTTTTTTTTTCCTCACCCAGGGCCTACACTCACACTCCCCTACCTTCACAGTGATTCCTGCATCAGGCCTTGGATCTCTGACTACATCTGCCCCTGGCAGCCTCATTCAGTCTTAGAGCTCTGAATGTCACCTCTGTGCTGACTTCCATCCCAGTGGCCTCGTGGGGGTCTAAGGTATTCTAAACAGAAGGGGAGCCAAAGAGAATTCTTGATGTTTCCTGCCAGCCTTCCAACTGAAGAATACCCAAATCCCTTTTTCTCCTTCCCTCACACTCCATCCAGTCACGGGGGTTATCAGCTTGACCTGTCCTTTCACTCCAAGATTTACCCCATCCTCACGGCTCTATCGCCTCTCACCTAGATGAGGAAGCGGCTTCCTCCCTTCTCTGGATCCCCACAGTTTATTCTACACAGCGGCTCTACTGATCTTATAAAACAAACTGGATCATTTCATTCTCCCAGCTCTTCTCTGCTTCTTCCGCACTGGCCTCCTTTCTGCTTGCAGAACAGGCCAAGCATGTTCTAGCCGCAGGGCCTTTTCACTTGCTCTTCCTTCTACCTGCAGTGCCCTTCTCCCAGACGCCCAAATGTCCATCCTCACTTTCTTCAGGTTTCTGCTGAAATGTCAGATGAAGGCTTGGGGAAGCCTTCTTTGCCTACCTGTTCTGAATTAGCACCCCACTCTGCCAGTGTGGTCAGCCTTTCTTAGAGTACTGCTCAGCATTTTAAAAGATATATTTATGTTTTATTTAGCATCTTCTCCCCCATTCAGATGTCAATTTCATGAATGAATGCCCAGCCCAGGCCAAGATGAGAGAATGAGGTTGTCTAGGGTAAGCAGGTGCTAAGTGCTGAATATTTATTATCTCATTTAATCAATGGCTTCCTATGGCTCTTAGCATAGAATTTCCCCAGCTTTAGACAGTTGAGGGTCAGGATTTTTATCAGATCTGTGTAACAACTGTACTATTATTTATCTAACTTTTAAAACTTAATGGTGAGTTAATTATCCAGCATACTTAGAAGGTAACAGTTCATAAAAGTTACAATGAAAATGAAACACTGTCACAAGATCCTGCTGAAACAGTAGCCAGTGTGAGTTTCCAGACAGCTTTCTTAGTTACAAAGATTAGCAAGGTTAATGACACATTGTTGCCAAAGGAGGAAGACTATCCTTAAGTCAAAAAAACTAGCTGGGACTGAAAGCTAAAAAGAGGCTGGGAGTTGTAATCCACGTTATTTAAATAACAGTGAATTCCTTTACCCAGTGTCCCAGAGTTAGGAAAACTCTGCTTCTGAAAGAGGGACAACTACCCTGTCACTGTCCTGCTGAATCTGGACCCAATCCATCTCTGGCCCAATCTTGCATCACCCTCCAGTCATACTGACCTGCTTTTTGTCCCTCCTACTTCCACTCTTCCCAGACACAGGGGCCTTGTGTATGCTCTCTCCTACACTGCTTATGTCTTCCCTACTCACTTCGTTAACTCACCTCAGTTTACAGGCATGTCATCAGGAAAGCGTTTCCTATCAGCCCCCCATTTTGATCCAAGATCCCTATATTTATTAACACTGAGATCGAGAGCTACTTTTTCGTAGTAGTCGTACTTATCACAACTATAATATTACATTTCTTTCTGGGTTTGTCTCTTCTTCTAGCTCGTGGCTTCCAAGAGGACAGAGACAAGTTTTAGTTTTTGTGAATGAATGATGCCTTTGCAACTTTCCTTTGAGGTCCTTCTAACGTTCATTTTTTACAGATCTGGAAACGGAGGCCCAGAGACCATCGCCCGACTGGACAGCACGTAGGGGACAGCCTAGTTGTGGATTTCCCACCCTGAGATTCCCCTCCCCGCCTTCGCTGCGCGTGGGAGGTGGGGAGAAATACGCGTCCCTGTTCAGAATTGGCTGAGCTGGGGAAGGGCGGGGCCACAGGTCGCACCACCCCAGAAGCAGCACCCCAGACCGGTTTACCAGGTTCCTGGAGCCTGGGCGAGTGCCTGCCCAAGGCAGGGGTGGCGGGGGATGGGGAGTGCGGGGGTGGGAGATGCCGGCCCTGGCCCAGCTGCCTGCCGGGCGGGGCGGGGTGGGAACTTGATCTCCTACAGGAAATTTAAGTGTCAGGCAGGATCTCCGGGTTAGTCACAGGCCAGGGTGGGGAGGTGGAGCGATCTGGGAGTCAAATACAGATGGGGGTGGGACATGCAAATGTACCCCGCCACTGGAGCTTTTCCGCACCGGGGCCCCGCTCCCCTGACCCCCGCGCGCTGCACGGAGCTATTGTAGGGACCTCCCAGTGCAGTGGGTGGGCCAGGCCACGCCCCTCGCCCCCAAACTGGTCCCTTCCAGATTCTGTCCAGACCGTCAGAGTTTGGCAGGGCCCCAACTCTATGAATGCGGGGGCGGGACTTAAGCCCTGCACCAGGAGGTGGCGACCACGTTGGGGTCGTCTAGGGCTGAGGGTGGGCTGAGAATCTGGAAAAAGAGGAAGGAAAGTGATGATTGTTGGAGTTTGAGACTCAAGCTAGCAGCTCTGGGGGTATGATGCTGA